TTCTACTTCGAAAATAGATGAGATTATTTATGTTAACCTATCCATAACTTGCATAAAGCCTTTTTTATGTCTTAGGTACGTTTTGTGTATCAATTACTACTAAGTAATAAATTCGATCTTCAATAGGTGTCCAGTGCTAAACAAATAGCAATAAATCATGATACGAAAAGTGTAACAATTTTTTTAATCGCACTGATATCACAGGTTTCTGGGGGGGTTGTTTTGTTTTGTTTTTTGTTTTTGTCTTTTGGGGGGTTTTTTTCTTTTTTGTTTTGTTTTTTGGGGTTTTGTTTTTTGTTTTTTTTTGGGTGTTTTTTTTGTTTTTTGTTTTTTTAAGCGATTCACCTCAAGCAAGGCGGGAGTTCCACTAGCACGCAAGGGGTTACAGAGGATTGAGAACAAGACTAAAGAGGCTTGTTTAAGGAAAGGATACAGAGAAGGACGGGGAACAAGCACAGGGTGTCAGATGTCGATTGACATTACACTTGAATATTTGAAGATTATAGTCATCGGGGAAGCAAGTAAGGGGAAGGTAGTTCCATAGACGGGAAGTGTGAGAGAAGAAGCTGTCTGAGTAGAAGAGACGGTTGCATTTAACTGTTTTGACAGTGAAAGGGTGGGACCGAGATGCCAACCTAGTAGCTCGCTTAAATTCATGCAGTCTGGGAACCAGCGAAAGTTACCGTGAAAATACTTGTAGAAGAGACAGAGGGAAGCCACAACACGTCTGTGGGATAGCGATTGTAGACTAGATGCCAGATCAGGACCTATCATATTGCATATTCGTCTCTGGATTTTGTCGAGGACCTCGAGACTTACAGCAGGAGCACCAGACCATATATGACAAAAATATTCCATGCAAGGGTGTTTTAAAATTATATCTTTGAATGACCCAATTTCAGACTAAACGCTTCTAATGCCATTTGACGACAAAGGGAAAGCGAACATTTTAGGCTACCGAATATCAAGCTGAAAGATATTTTTCAAATTCTCCTAGCTGTAAGATTCCTTCCTCGTACGCACACTTTCCCCCTGTTCGTTTTTGGCAAATGAAATTAACTGCGGACTTCTCACAAGGAATTATATGTCCAGCGTTTGACAGAATTCTTTTTTCTTTTTTCCCGTTCGTTCAGCGCGCTTAAGCCAGAAGCCTAATGCAATTTTCAGACCAAATGCGTCCACTTTTTTATTGCTGAGGAGAGAATGTGTAACCTGAGCTAAAGCAAAAGACAAGACCTTATAAGAATGACACTTCTATTTTCTTCGAGGTATCATTGCTAATAATTCAGAGATGGATACCATAGAAAACTTTGCGCCCTCAGCATTATGGACAGTGGGATTTTGCTTCAATTTTACGAGTGAAAGTCACATAAATTAGTGATGGGGAACAGCTAGTGAAAGTAAATTTACTTCTCAGGCCGTAGTCGTCAACTGATGTGTCTATAAATATGTTAATACGCTGCGTTATATGTATGAACTATATAAAGGCAGTTTATTTATTCGCGACCATCACAATCACTATAAAATAAAAATGGCTTCGCAAAAATGGATAACACTTCCGTAATTTGACGGCTTGATATGTACATGTGGAGTAAGATGTGTTTATAGACACAACTCGTATTGGTTCATAAAAACTCGGCCGTCACATCCAAAGAAAAGGACGGGAGAGACATATCAGTTTTTTTTCTTTCTTTCTATCTATCTATCTATCTATCTATCTATCTATCTATCTATCTATCTATCTATCTATCTCTCAGTCTTTCCACATCTATATCTGAATCTTTTCATCTATCTATCTATCTCTCTCTCTCTCTCTATATATATATATATATATATATATATATATATATATATATATCAGACTTTTCATAACTACAGTGCATTTCTTGCCTTATTTAATTGTAATATACGGAAAAATATTCGTGAATATGAAAGAAATATGATAAAAAATAGGCAGACATAATGTTTTGTAATTTATTCAATCACACGCACGCGCGTGCGTATATATATATATATATATATATATATATATATATATATATATTATACATATATTTTTAGGCAGTAATCTTTCATTTATGCATGTTTCATTAAAGACAACAGACAAGGCACTACGATTAAGCTTTTATTTAATCTTTTTTGTGTTCGAACAAGTGCTTTCTTTTTTGGACACAGAGTCTGTAAATATTGTCCAAATGTTCTGTAATTCCCAGCGCTTTCGGCTATACTTTTATCCATTATCAAGGATGATTTTATTTTTTCAGTTTAATTGAGTGTGTATGTTTTTAGTGTTATAGAGATGTTTTATTTTCCGAATATTATATTATTATTTTTCTGTTTTCTATACATATTTAGTTCTTTTTGCGAATTTGTCAATTCTTTACCTCTTGCTATGAAAAAAACCTTCTTACACGAATATCAATTACAGAATGTTTTGTTTGTATTCTTTAGGCTAAAAATAATTACTGATAACATTATTGGAACATTCTGGAATATTCCACTTGAATAAACTAAAGTATTAAAGGAATTTAAAAGTTTTAAGATCTGAATTTGCATTGTACAAATATTTTTCACCCATGAAAATGGATAAATGAGATTTATTTCTAGTAAATCAAAAAAATTTCTGTTTTCTATGCATATTTAGTTATTATGCATCTATGTACAGTTAATTATATGAAAAGTATGTTTATTCATTTGTTGGAAATACAATAAATAAAAAATTTGTATGTGTACGAATATTTGTTTCCCCCACACACACACACACTCTATATATATGTGTGTGTGCGTGTGTTTGTGTGTTGATTGATTTGTTTTCTACGACTTATGAACATTTTACAAGTTATCTAAAGCCAGAAAATATTTTTAGACTGTAAGATGGGGGGGGGCGAGGAATAACTGTTTAGTGATACAATTCTTACTAATTAACACTAACTGGTGGGGAAAGAAGTGAATTCAAACCTTTCCCAAGGGTATTGGCGAGTAAGTTAATTTAATGGACCCAACGGAAATTGGAACTCGACTCTCCGATCAACAATTTCGAGCCATAATATATTACACCACCCGCACATCCAAATTTACAGCACCTGGTATTCCCTAGCGGTCACCCATCTCGATACTAACTAGCTTCGAAGTGTGTGTGTGTGTGTGTGTGTGTGTGTGTGTGTGTGTGTGTGTGTGTGTGTGTGTGTGTGTGTGTGTGTGTGTCAATGTTTATGCATAAGTTTCAGAGGACTGCCATTACAACTGTATAAATCAGGCCAATTGTCTGCACCAAGTTCCCTTATATAATTAAGGCACATATCGATCTTGTTCTTTTCGATACACTCTGACTCATAAAGCAGACATTGTTACAATTCGTATGTAATACGCGCACTAATTGTTCATTCAACGATATCGAATAAATATTAATCAAAAAAATCAATCTTAGTAAAATTAATAATTGTTGAAGACACACTTAATCATACGGAAAGCAAATGAGAATATGAAGCGATCAAAAGAAAACGCAGACTCTATTGAAAACGAACATCGGTAAGCAGGTAATTTTGAAGAATGAATTAAAAGACAGGAATCGGCAAGTAGAAAATCAAACAGGAAGAGCAAATCAATAATTGCAGAATTTTAGAACCAGTAGAACAAGATTTTCCATAGAGGATAACATGGAATCACTAAACCCCTTTCAGACTGTTCTATATGCTCTGTATTTGTATTCAATCTTTGTTTTTCTTGTCGTCAAAAAGTCTTTTGGTTGATATTATCTTTAGCTATTAATTTAAATTCTAGACATTCAGAACAACGAAGTGGCTTCGAATGATATTCAAACTCACTCGCCAGACCACAGGAACTTGTCATTTAGCAAGAATTGGCTTCAAGTAACTGACATCCAAGAGTAGCCTAATAGGGCGGCTTTCGTTCCTACTATCTCAACACTACTTTCTTCTAATAATCAAACGCCTATTATCTAATCGAGACGGGCGAGTAATAATTTATTTTGAATAATTTATGATGCAATCATAAAAAGAAAGTCAAAACGAACATGCAAAAAAGCAGATTTAAAATGTTTCCTTTCATGGAAATTTCTAAGCGAATTTTAGATGTGGCACAAGGCCCAAAGTATGGGGCATCCAGAGAGGATCGAACTCACTGCCTAGTCGTAATTGGTCTAGCGAGACCAGCTGGCTAACCATTACAATACGTCGATGTGCTAAATGATTTTCTAAGCGTAGCTTAGATGTGGCACAAGGCCGAAAGTTTGTAGTAATTCGTGAGAATCTAACTCACTACTCAGTCGTAATTGATCTACCGAGACAAACTCGTTAACCATTACACCACGTCGAAGTACCAACATTCACGTGATAAAACGGATAAAAAATAAAAACAGAATGTTTCTTAAAAAGTTGTGAAACTTTATTTTGCAAATAAAATCACATTATCTCAAAGTGACGGATGTACTGTTGAATTATTCTTAAATATTGTCTTTTCTGGAAATTATGCTCTTCTGGAAGTCTAGTAATAATAATTTCACTTGATAAAACGGATAAAAAATAAAAACAAAATGTTTCTTAAAATGTTGTGATATTCTATTTTGCAAATAAAATTACATCATCTCTTGTTTAAATAATGAAACTATGGAACTAAAATTTCAAGGAATCTTGACGCTAAATTTTAAAAAAAAATACATTTACGCACGTGCATTGGATGCGCAATGAGTTTTAGATTGATTGATTGATTGATTTGTTTTTTTACGATTTATCAACTTTTTGTAGGCTATTTAAAGCCAGAAAATATCTTTAGATTGAAAGATGTTTTAAGGGATAATAAGGTTTTATTGATACAAGTTCTACTAATTAACCCATAGCTGGGGGTGGAGAAGAGGTGGAGTCATATCTTTTCCAAGGATATTTGTGCGTAAGTAAATATAACAAACCCGACTAGTATTGGAACTCAACTCTCTGATTTTAAATTTCAATCCGTTATCTATTACACCACCCACACATCCAAGCTTATAGCACCTGGTATTCCGAAGCGGTCACCCATCTAGGCACTAACCAGGTTCGACGTTACTTAACTTCGCTGATCGTACGAGAACCGGTGTTTCAATATGATACGGCCGCAACACGCTAAATTCATGTAAATGAAGTTAATTGAGTTGGTGATCGATGATTGTTTTGCGACGAGACTATCCAATCGCTGTTGCTTGAGGTTCTTGTTTCTTTGTTTTTGACAGCTGTAGTGTCTAGCGAAGATGTGTCAACTTTACAGAATTGACTTTGTCTTATGTTTCATACAATTATTTGATGACTTCGTTAATGGCGACTGAAGAAGGCGTCAAAATCTGACATTTCTTATCATCCGTGTTAAAATTATTTCAACATTGATTAAAATGGCCGACTGTCATCAAGTTGACCGACAGCTTTCGACTTTCCTAGATATCATTATCATTTGTGCGCCGTGTCCCTTCAGGACGTGAGCGATCCTGACACTCCTCAAATTCTCTTCGCTTGTAATTCTCTTTACAATCTCTCCTTGCCTCCGCTCTGCCATCCATTCACACAAACATTAAACAACTTTTGCTGTTTCTCTCTACGCTTCCTTATGCCAATACGTCATGTGAATATTAAGTTTTCTGAACCGCCTTTCCTTCCAAGATGCTCCATATTTTTAAGTGATTCTTTCTGATTTTAAGTATGAGTATCGTGCTCATTTCTATTTTCTATTGAACTTCCTCGTTGATCTTGTGTTCTGTCTATGGTATTCGCTGCATATCTCTGCAGATCTATATTTCTGTCGTCTCCAGTCTATTCCTCGTCTGTTAGACGTCCTAGGTATGACGATAAGCTACATCAGGCAGCAAGGACCTTTACTGAGAGATCAGAGGTTTTGAGAAACATGAAACCACCTCTTATTTGATATTTTCCCAGATCCGCCCTAATCCGGGTTGGTAGCACCTATTAAGGTCCCAGATATGGACAAATAATGACCCCCTCCCCCACTAAACAAGAACAAAACACTATGAAAGTATAAAAATATATTTTTATAGTAAAATTACCAGTAATACGCACATACTAACGCACATTGTAGTGACTTCACCCAAAGCCATTTAAAAGACTACCAAACGACCAACACGCAAGAACTTTCATGGCATTAAGTCATATAATATCCTATAATTTCTTAAATAAAACTGTATTCCAAAATATAACTTTATAACAAAACTACAACATAAAACACGCATCATCGCTTCTAATAATTATGTCCACACAAACTTGTATATGCACAAAAGCTGAGTATCATCTACCATGTATTCAACTGCGAAAGCGGAATAACATATTTTTATTACTTCCAAGCTCCCAAGAAAATTAAATTTTGGCATTAAATAACCCATAAGGGTGTCGATATGACGTTAAACAGACGAATCAATCAAATTCGTCTATAAGAAAATTGTCCTGAATTTACTTACCATACAGGAGGATAGATATGACAGTCTTTCGGAACTGCTTTTCTTTGTTTCTAACGAAATATTCCTGTCTTAACACTTTGCTTTGTTTCTGCAAAACCTCTTTCGTTATTCTCAATCACCTTCGGATTTCTGTGTCACACGTTCTGTCCTACCAGCACTAACCCAATAAACTCCATCACCTGTAACAAATTTGTACTCAAGGCAATGTCATAAAATTATATAATCATAGCAACTTAAAATTTTTATTTGGATAATTGGGTGTTTGAATATCAAATGGTCCATTGTACATATTAACAGTATTAAATATTAACAGTAGTAAAATTTTTATCTTGCCCCAAATTCTAAGAAGATAACAGAATTAGAGTAAAAAATACTTGACGCTAACGAGTTTATCTAGGATCTCAAACAAATCAAAATACTACTCTTCACAAAGAAGATTATAAAATAATTATTGAAGTGGACATTTCGCCAAATAAGGGAATTTATTTAAAACTAATCTGACAGAGCCATCTTAACTAGATAGACTAATCTGACGTAAAAGTCGTCTTTAGGTCTCATCGTTTAAAAAATTCAAATTCTGATTCATACATCATGCGATCTCCTCTTGATATCTCCCAGAATCTTGTGTGTCAGATAATGTACGAACTGAAAGGTTGTCTTACTCATTACACATGTGTATACTGACATAAAGCCATTTTGAAGGAAAATTCGTTTTAAAAGTCAAAGGAAAGATATATAGCTTTTCTAAGCCACAGAATCATATCTTATGGACGCCTGAAGGTACCACGAAGCGCGACTGATTTTGCGTTTTCTATTCAACAGTAAATATCAAAATGACCATTATTGTTGAAGCATTTTCTTTAGATTGTATAAAATTAACGAACATTTTAATTCTATTAGTGAAAAATAACCCCATCATTTGAGAACTAGCAACAACAGCTCAAATGAATAGTATATGTAAAACGAAGAGAAAATAATGTTGATATTCCACACTACTTCAAATAAAAGGTTAGGAAGGAAATCCTTATCAATACTGAAAATAGCAATAAAAGCTACTGTACTTGAGAAACCTATTTTCCTGAAAAGTTGTTTTAAGAGAAAGATTTTATAAATTTCAACCAAAGGCAATACTGGCTGATCGGTCAATAAATGCTGAATGTTTCCTTATAAGGAAACAGCTAATATTGCAACTACCATTCCAAAATGGAAAAAAAAGTAGAGAGACAATAAGGGAAATTATACTAACATTTTGTTACTTACTTCCTTGAAACTCTGAGACGTGTTTTATTTTTTAAAACACTTTAAGAAAGAGGGTTCAAAAACTTCTTACTTTTTGTGAGTAAGGAAGACAGAATTGAATAAATGTTCGAAATCTGTCCACGGGAGTTTATGTTCAATTCGAACTTTGGAAGGAAAAGGCATTAATCTATTTCTTCCTATGTTTTGTTCCATAGACTGATATACTAAAAATGATTCGCCAGTGCTTAACAGAAAAGACAGTAAGTAAGCAGTCATTTGGTCAAACTGAAGAAGAGACTTGAGGCAGGAGAAATGTGTCTCTACAGGAGGATGTTGAGAATATCATGGACTGAATACGTAAGCAACGACGATGCTCTAGAGAAAATGGAAACAAAAAAGGAAACTTATATTTCAAATCAGAAAAAGAAAACTGAAATTAATTTCTAGGGCACATAATGAGGAAAAAGGGCTTGGAAAATTTAAAACTCACAGGACATGTTGAAGGTAAGATGGACAAAGGAAAACAGCGAATAACTTAACCAGCTTGTTTAAATGGCTGGCAGAAAAAGAGATTAGGAAAGATACCAATAAGACAAACACTGATAAGAGCTACAAAGGACAGGAAGTCGTGGAGATCCATGATCTCCAACGCCCTGAAGGGGCACAGTGCATAAAGAATAAGAAGACCATGACAGTCCAGCAAGTAGCTGTTGGTCTGATTTCGTTTGATTTCGTTTGTTTTGTTTTACGGTATATCAACCTCAATGTGATATTTAATGCCAATAAAAGTTTTGTAGGCGCTAATATCTTTTTCAAAAAATCGATTGCTGGTAATATTTTTTTTAATGTATAGCTGGTAATTTTTTTTTTCGAAAATGTATTGCTGGTTTTCTTTTCTTTGCTTTGCTTTACGGCATATCAACCTCAATGGGTTATTTAATGCCGACAAGATTTATATTGCTGGTAATATTTTTTCCAAAAATGCATTGCTGGTAATATTTTTTCTTCAAAAATATATTGCTGGTAATAATTTTTCTTCAAAAAATTTATTGCTGGTATTAAAACCTATTTTTACACTTTCATAATGTTTTGACTCCAGTTTAGAGATTAACCATTTGCCCATAGTTGGGACCCTAACAGGTGCTACAACCCTGGGTCAGAGTGGACCTGGAAATACCAGCAATTAACAGGTGGTTCCACGCTCCTCAAAACCTCCCGATCAGATGCCTTGCTGTTGGACGTAGTTTATCGTCTTACCCAGAAGCCACTAGCTGTTGGCTTCATTCCTAACCAAAAAGAGAACATTTAGCCATTTTCTTAAAGAAACTCGTGACTTTGGTAAATTTTTTTAAGAAAAATAAAAGGTAATCTAATCAGAAAGTTCAATGTTCCATTTTTCCTTTTTTTATTTGACGTTGAACATATTTGATGTGTAGCGTTGTTTTATAACACGTGATCAACTTTTTCTTTGGGATCAAAATCTTTTACAATGTTTTTTTTTTTTTTTTTTTTTGTGCGAGTGTCTTTTTTAAAATCTCAAACGCTAATCCGTGCCTTAGAGTCCATTTGAATTCATTATTCTTTTTACGCAGTTCAGCAATATTAAATCGTCGAATCAGCAACGACAGACTGGACTACTTTTGCTAATTACTTCACATTTCTCTGTAGATATTTAGCAAATTTAACTTAGTTCTGGTCATATTGGTGGCACGAGAACAGGGTACTCGACGAGCAATATATCTATGAAAATTAAATAACAGCATTAAGCATACAAAGTGTAATGTTAATAACTGTTCTCAAACTTATAGACAATTTGACTGCTCAATATGTATTTTATTAAAATGAACACGCTAAAGAAAAGGTTGGATCATCGTCTCTTTTAAAACAAACTATCTACAAAGTGATATAGAACCATATTTTTTTTAAAAAATCGGAGTAATTTTGCGTTTATAGATTGTTTATAGATCATTGCGAACAAAAGTATTCAACTTGACATTAGTTTAGATGAAAGAATGATTTTTTTGTTGTATCTAATGTCTTCTGCTTTTACCTACCTGGACGAATGTGGTAATATTTACAAGAACGTTGCTCATTGGATGCAGCAAGTAGAAAAAATTTCTAGTTACTTGATCCAGAGCGGTGTAATGGATAGCAAGCTTGCTTCGCTAGATCTCTTAAGACTGAATAGTGAGTTCGATCCTCACTGGGTGTCCCACACTTTCGGCCTTGTGTCACGTCTAAGCTACTCTTAGAAAATCATTTTAGACACCTCGAGGCTCTGTAATGATTGGCAAGCTTGTCTCGCTAGAACAATTACGACTGAGTCGTGAGTTCGATCCTCACTGGGTGCCTCCTACTTTCGGCCTTGTACCACATCTAAGCTACGCTTGGAAAGTCGCTACTTGATCCAGAACTTCAGTTTAGTTTGCTATGTGTCACGCCGAATGACTTTCATCTCGAGCTTCTGTGTTTGTCACCTATCACCGCTTCAGAATGAGGGAATGTGCTAGGTGACGTCATTGTACAAATAACCAACATATATATATATCACTATCTGAGATAGAGTGTGTGTAAATATAAGAGTGGACACTGAGATCAACACCGATTGGCTACAATCTGTTTCACACTGTAACGCAATCTTCAGGACATATATATATATTTATTTACTTAGTAATAGATATTAAGGGTTCTGAAATGTTCTCGGCCTGGCCAAGAGGAGAATATTCGCAAATTGTAATTATCTAACTATACAGTTAATCCCCCGTATTCCCGGGGGCTAGGGACCAAAACCAGTCCCGAATTGTTAGAATCCGCGAATACTTATAACCCCCCTAAAAATGCTTATAAGTACCTATTTTGATTGTTAAAACCCCATATGCCTTAAACTTTCATCCTAAACACTTTAGAAACATTTCAGGCCCTTTTAAAAACATTTTTGAAAAATAGTATTGGTGACCATACACTTTGCATAAATTTTCTTTCATGCGTAAATAACTGTTTTTAATTACATATAGATCTATACAACCATTGAAAATACTGTATAAAATATGTGTAACAAGGCATAAAATATAAAGTTTGAAACATTTATTAAAAACAGAACTGTGATGATGCCCCCAGACTTAGCATAAGCCACTTTTAAGAACCCCAACCACAGCCCCTAACAAAGAACAAAGCCCAAGCACTACGCATGTTTTTGCGTTTGTTTTTTTGTTTTTACAATGAAGATATACAATTCTGTCAATTTTTACCATCAATATGGACCGTTATGTTTTAAGTCACTTAAATTACAGGAAAATAATACAAGAATATTTTAAATATGTTCTATCTAAAAAATACGCGAATCGAGGGAGTTCTCAGCCAATAATTTGTATATATGTTCTTCAGAAAAACACGCGAATATTCGGGGTTTCCGCGAATAACAAGTACATATGTTCTAAAGAAAAAATCCGCGAATGGGTGAAGCCGCGAGTGCTGAAACGCGGATAGGCAGGGACTCACTGTACTAGGCTATACTACATTAGTGCAAGGTTTGCAGCTGTAATATTGTAAGATGTTATATAGTGTTACTTTATTTTCAGCTTTCATTATTTATATGTCATTAACTAGATATTGAATTACAAAACAAATCAAATCATTCGTAAATTACATTTCAGATTGCCTTTAAAAATTATCCTCGAAGAATAAAAGCTTTTGCTGTTTTCTAATGTAGCAACTCTTCGCAAAAGCTTCTTTTCTCCTAATCGTAGCAAATAAAGAATCGAGAAATCTATTGTTTTTTTTTTCCCTTGCAAAACGCTATTTATCAAGACGTTGTGCAAACCTAAGAACCAAAACCTATTTCGTTAAAACGGAATCTCTTACCGACTCTATACAGAAAAGAAAATGATACCAGGCTGAAGAATTACATTAGCTTGTGACCACTCGGTCACTTTTGCGTTGTATTCTGCTGAGAAAAACAAACAAACAAACAAAAAAACAATGTAGAGTTCATTCTATAAAATAGAATGCCAATAATCATTAAGCCGTGTTCGTTGCTTGGGTTAATCCTGTGGCTAACAAATGACACGTGCGCTCGCTCTGTGTGGACAAAAAGTAAAACGACTGGCAAGTAAAAGCTTTTTGCTACTCAGAACTCAATCTAAAAAAAACAACGGCGCCGATGCTGCCCTATTTTCAGTTCTTTTTTTTTTAATCCTCTACAATTCTTTTCACTGTCTCCTCTTTTCTTTTCTTCATCCTCGAATCATGATCTCTCGTGTTTCTTCCTGTACATGTCTTTCAACCACGCTGTTTTTTGTTCGCCTTTGTTGCCTTTTTTCTTTTTTCCTTTTGCTTTATTCCTTCTTTTCTTCGTTTTGTTCAGTTTTTACCTTTTTCTCTTTACCAACTCATTCACCTCTTTTCTTTCTTTCCTCCTAGTCAAGTCTTGGGTATGACGATAAACTACATCTGACAGCTGGGCCACTGATTGGGAGATTGGAGGTCTTGAGGAGTGTGGAACCACCTCTTAAATGTTGTTATTCCCAGGCCCACCCTGACCCGGTGTGGTAGCAACTGATAGAGTCCCAGCTATGGGCAACTAGTGAACCCCTAAAGAAAAACAAAACACTATGAAAATATAAAAATACATTTTATTGTAAAAATGCTGCCAATATATTTTTATATAAAAAAATACCAAAAATACATTTTAATATAAAAAAGATTAACAACAACAATTATTTATAGTAAAATTACCAGCAATACATGTTTATATAAAAAATTAACAACAATACATTTTTATATAAAAAATGAACAACGATACATGTTTAAATAAAATTTACCAACAATACATTTTTATAGTAAAATTACCAGCAATACATTTTTATATAAAAAACTACCAAAAATACATTTTTATAAAAAACATTACCAAAAATATATTCTTATATAAAAAATTACCAACAATACATATTTATAGTAAAATTACCGACAATATATTTTTATATAAAAAAAAAAATTACCACCAATACATTCTTATTTTAAAATTACTAACAATACATTTTTATTTCTATGTCCGCCATCGATTTACCCAAGCTCGCCTGATAAGTGAGATCGGTGGCTTCTCTTATATCTCTTGTCTTCAATATTTCCAGAGAAGGTTAATCTTTCCAAGCTCTCCTTCCCCATAATTTACTGTATCCTAAATTGTAGCTTACATTATGTTGAAAAGTACGATCATTGTAGTTAAGCAATTGATTAGTACCTAGACGGGTGACCGCTTCGGAATACCAAATGCTGTAAGCTTTGATGCGCGGGTGGCGTAATGGATAATGGCTCGAAATTGTTAATTGTATTCACTTATGGGCAAATATCCTCGTGAAAAGTACGAACCCAACCCGATCAAATATTCTACAAACCTGTATTTTTCTTTCTTTTTATCATCGTCGTCGTTTTCATCATCTTCATCATCATCATCAGCAGCAGCAACAGCAGTAGCAGCAGCAACAGCAGCAGTATGACTGGATGTAGGCGTAGGGCTGCTGATAAGCGCCTTCTGCATGTCTCCGTAGATATTTATTCGTGCGTAGCGTGTCTTGGTAAGAAATTATAAAATCTCCTACAGAAAGTGACGAACACTAGAATCAAGCAAACACGGAAGTTTAAATATCTGGGAATCGTTCTAACAGAGCACGGTAGATGCGACGCTGAGATCGGTAGACCTATTTACATTATTCGGACTATTGTCCTCATCTTTGTCGCCATATTTATCACAACGTTTCGGCCGTTGTACGCTCCGGCCTTCTTCAGGTGTTTGGAATGTCGAACTGAACCCTTTATTTCGCTCGCTGGGGTAGACTGTCCTAGTTCCACGTGCCATGTCTAATGGATGTCAGTTATCAGTTATCTCCTGTTAATTCTCCTCTCCAAGTTCTCCACTGCCTTAACCAGGTTTTGAACTCACAATCTTTGGGTCATGTCACTAGATCTAACTAACGCCTTTATCCACTGTGCCATGTGTTCTGACAAAAGCAGTATTGGCCGCTCAGTCAATGAATGCTAAATATTTCCTTATCGGGAAACGGTTAATATTAGCATTAAGACTACAATAGAATTCTTTCTTTATGGTTTTGTCATTTTATGTCTATTTTACTCGCATTTTATCTCTTTTTAGGCCTATTTCCTTCTCTGTTTCTTTTTATGTCTAATTTCTTCCCTTTTTTATCTCTCTTTAGGCCTACTTTCCTCCTTTTTCTCTCTTCCTTTTCCAATTTTCATCCACTTTTTCTCTTTTTATATGAATTTCCGCCTTTTTTCTCTATTTTCATGTTTATCCCTTTCTTTTTTTTTCTCTTGTCAATTTTCATTTTTTTCTCTCTCTCTTTTTTGTGCTTATTTTCCTTCCTAAATCTTTTTATGTCAAAATTACTTCTCATCATTACTTTCGCTTCTATATTTTCCCTTATATTGTCTATTTTAGTCCCTTCCTCTTAACCTCTATTACACTTTCTCTTTCCCTTTCTCAGACACGCACACACACTCACACACACATACACCCGCACACACACACGCGTGCGCCACTTTTCTTTTTCCTTTCTACTCAGTCTATCATCCATTTTATTGCCTGCTTTCCGCAAAGGATGTGCTCATCGCTTATAAGACGAGAGTTAGCGCGGATTTCTCAAATTGATGACTTTGTGCAAGATTTCTTACAATGTCAACAGATAAATCAATCTTTCTACACAGGAAAATTATTATGTGCGTGCTTTCCCCTTTCACCACCCACGCTACACACACAATGTACCTCCTACTTCTCTTTTTCCTTTTCTTTTCCACTTTCCACTTTTCATGGAATTTCACTTTATTCCGTTATCATCACAGAAAACACCGCCATCAATTAATATCTCACTCCCTCTCTATTTCTATATCTCTCACTCTCCTACTCTTTCACTCCCTCCCTCTCTATCTATCTATCTTTGATATTATCCTTTCAATATTGTTTTGCAGTTTTAGTCCTTTTCTTTTTACCTTCTCTCTCTCTTTCTCTCTCTCTCTCTAACTATCTATGTACTTTTTTCTTTCTTTCTTTTCTTTTGTTTTTTCTCTTTCTGTTTTTTTTTTTTCTTGTTTTTTCTTGTCTTTCCTTTTCTTTCATTCTTTTCTTCATTTTTTGTTCTTTCTTGCCCGTCTTTTCTTTCATTCTTTTCTTTTTCTTTCCTTTTTTCTCTTTCTTTCTTTTCTTTTATATTTTTTCCTTCTTTTTTGTGATTATTTTCTTTTTCTTTTCTTTCTTTTTTTTCATTTGTTTCTTTTCCTTTTGTTTTTTCTCATTCTTTCTTTTCTTTTTTCTTGCTCTTTCTTGTCTTTCTTTTTCTTTCATTCTTTTCCTTTTTCTTTTCTTCTTTCCTTTTTTCGTTTCTTTTCTTTCTTTTTCATTTCCGTCTTTATTTCTTCAATATTCTTTCATTTTAGTTAGTTTCGAACTTTCTGTTTTTACTCTCCACATGTATATTCTTCTTTCTCTTTCTTTCCTTCTTTCCTTCTTTCTTTCTATTTTCTTTCTTTATTCGTTTTTCTCTCCTTCTTTTTTTCTTTATTTCAACTTTTGCTTTATTTTATTTCTGGGATCATCTTTACTTTATTCTTTACTCGTAACTTATTTCTTTCTTTATTACTTCCGTGAATAAAATTTCGCGAATATTTTTTCATACAATCTCTCTCTCTCTCTCTCTCTCTATCTATCTATCTATCTATCTATCTTTCTGTCTATCTATCTATTGAACTATCTATCGCCCCCTATCTCTCTCCCGTCTCTGATTCTTACTTTCTGTCTTCCTTCTACCTGCTTTCTCTTCATTCTTTTCTTTTGTCCTTTCAAATTCTAATCCTTTCTTTCATGCGTTTTCTTTTCCCTACACCTCCTCCTCCTCCTCTTCCTCCATTTCTCCTCCTTTTTCTTCACTTCTGCCCTCCATTTCTCTCTTCCTCTTCTTTCACTTCTGTTCTTCCTTTACTTCTCTCCTCCTCTTCCTTCTCCTCCTTCAAATGAACATTTTCTTGTCTCTTTATTCCCATTATTGTAAACTTACAATAAACATTGTCCTAGTTGGCATTGCTCTCTTTGTGCTTTTCCACAAATCCATATTTTTCATCTCTTAATGTCCATCACTTCTGACGACTGACTAACAGAACCAGACAATCCGTCGAGTATATTTGTTTCCCTCATATTTCTTCGATCTTCAAAATAAGTATCTTTGACGCCATATTGATGAGCCGAGAGACGTTCAATGCTCCTGGCCGTCTATACACCCGTCAAGACGTCTAATAACGTCTGCCTGTAATATCAATTACATGTTACTTGAAACAGAGACGTGATTATATATTTAAGAAAAGTCCTTCTCATTCTACTCAGCAATAAGAAAAACACTAGAAAGCAGCCCGTCCTGGACATGGCGATAAACTACATCCACGTCCAGGGTAAGACGATAAACTACGTCCAACAGCAAGGCCTCTGATCAGGAGGTTTTGAGGAGAGTGGAACCACCTCTTAATTGCTGGTGTTCCCAGGTCCACCCTGACCCGGGGTTGTAGCACCTGTTAGGGTCCCAGCTATGGGCAAATAGTTACCCCTCCAAACTGAGGTAAAAAGCATTATGAAAGTGTAAAAAGAGGTTTTAATACCTGAAAAAAACTTTATAAAAAATTATTACCAGAGATAAACTTTTGAAGGAAAAAAAACTATTACCAGCAACATATTTTTGAAAAAAAATATTTACAGCAATACATTTTTAAAATAATATTGGCAGCTATACATTTTTGAGGAAAAAAATGTTACTAGAATTAGATTTTTGACAAAACAAAATATTACCAGCAATAAAAATCTTGTCGGCATTAAATAAACCATTGAGGTTGATATGCCGTCAAACAAAACAAACCAAATCAACCAAACTAGAAAGCAGCCTTACCGCTTTCTTTATTAAATCGCCAATATAAACGTTGAATGATGGCTGCGTTCAATCTCTAGGTAAGATAGTGAAATTCATATATTCTGGTTCCGTGGGACGAGCAAAAGAAGAGCAAGTTAACTAAATGTTTTAACAGAGGACGGAAAGTCCGACAATAAAATCTGAAGGCACATTGAGATAGCCAAAGATGCTTTTCAAAAGCTAAGTAGAGTAATAAGGAATGGAAAAACTTCGCTAAAAGTAAGAAAAAAGTGTCACGTGATACATGTCCTCCTGTATTGCCTGTCAGTGCTGGATAATCTCCTCGGAGTTAATTCTCGTTAATCGAGTAAGACTTTCTAATACATTAAGATGTAAATTAAGACAACTGCATTGTTAGCTTAAAAGAGATAGCAAAAAGAGAAAATTTATTAAGAGCTACAAAGGACAGGAAATTGTGGAGAGCTATGATCGCCAATGTCCTGAGGAGCCACGGCACATAGAAAAAATATTTACTCTTCAAAGATCTTCTTTCCTGATGGTTTTCAGAGAGTTAGTCATACAGTTATCTGTCCAGTGTGCTGTCGGGTTGTCTCTAGATCAGATCTTGTTAGCCATATTAAGCACTGTAGCCAGAATGAACAAGTGAGATTTCTTGTAATTAACCAGTCGCTAAAACTAACATAGACTGTGCGTGCATTTAATGCCAAATCATTGCTTTCACAGATGATCTGATGCCCCTGCTATTTATCTATATCTATATCCACGCCTCATCCATCATGAACATTTTAACGGTAACCTCTACTTGAGTGGCTCTCAAACTTTGTATCGGGTGAACTTTAATATAATGTACATACGAGGTTGAAACAGTAAGTCCGTATACCGATACAGTATTAGGTGAAAAATAGTAAAGAATCACTATTTCTTGTTAACAACTACCTCCAGTGTCTTTGTTTGAATGGAAGAGTTTGGCTGAATATCAACAATATTTTCTTCTTTCTTATTTAAGAATAGTTGCTTTGTTCTTTTAAAGCTTTTATTATTATTGTTATTAACTAAAGTTCATGTTTATGCTTTTAAAAATGTACAGCACGTTTTGCCTGCTGTCGCCATCAATCTGGTTTTATCCTCTTGCCTGTGACGCCAAAAAGACGGTATGGATTATAGTTTTCTTTTAAAATACACACGAAATCACTATAAATTTGGTTCGCCTGCAGGCTAACAGTGTCCATAAGTTACGAATAAAATGTAAATTTCCAAATAACCCACTGTTAGAATGAGACGAAACTGCTGAAGGCACGTAAAATTTATATTAAATCTCCAGATAATTTCTAAATTACCAAGGCATAATGACAACTGTCGGACATATTTATTTCCTGTTTTTGGAATTATGCTCACTTTAGTCAGGCAAATCGACATAAGCAGTTTAACTGTTTCCAACGCCCGCAATTGAGGTTTATGTCCAACAAAGTACTAAATTCGAACAGAAATTTTGAATAAATGACATATTGTTTGGAAAACCGTTAGAGACGGGGATTTTTGTGGGCTTCGTTATTTGGGCTTCTGAACTAAACAAAAAGCAGATTCAATAGCTTCGTTAAAACAAAGCAGATATCCCGAAATTTAGACAACGAATATCAATGGGAGAAAAGGATACTTGTAAGAGAGTTAGGACTCGCCATTCCATATTCACGGTGGCAAACTATCCCCATTCTCTTCGTCTTCCTTTGATAACAAGCAAGTTCCACTTAAACAGCTTCTTCCTCAGAAGTGTTACTTCATGGAATAAACTCCCAAGAGAATACTTCCCTGACAACTATAATATTTACCTTTCTAAGTCCGGGGTCAAACGATATCTCTTCTACTTGTCCTCATTACACTCTCTTGCTTCCCACTTCCCCTTCCCTTGCATCATTCTCACTCATTAACCCTCTACCGACAGTGACCCTTGAGCTTTGTATTGGGTGAAATACCAGTAAAAAAAAATAGACCTCGCTGCAGGAGACTTACTATAACCCGTCTCACAGATCAATATGCTTCGATAATCATTGTTGTCCTCTTCTGTTGTAACAATGTGCCAATTTCAGCTGAACATTGTGAATAACTAATATACTTTAAGTTGGACTACTATTTACTTTCAGCGCACACTCCTGCTTGATCAAGGCATCAAGTGTATACTATTATGTGCTTAAAGGAAAAGTTAAAATCACATTAATCTTTTTTTTAAAAGCGGTTATGGTGACACTACTTTCCTCTCAAAGGAAAAATTAGGACTTAGCTGACGGGAAAATCTGAAAAACCAATTAGTTAGTAATTGGTGTCACTCTTGAAATGATCTGTGGAAATGGCTCATCACCAAAAATTCATCAACAGAAAATCCCATCAGCAAGAGAAGGTCGGTAGCTGATATTAGTAACAATTTGACTCAGAGCAGAAGGTAAGACATTGGCGAGTTCCTTAGTGCCTGAATCATTATGATAACATAACATCTGCCCTATATATATATATATATATATATATATATATATATATATATATAACATTTCTAAACATTTACAACAGCATACCTGTGTTCATTCGGAATTCAGAAAATTCTTGCTGAAAATACATCTATACTTTTTCATGGAAACATAAACTAAAAATTCTTGTAGCTATCTTTATTAAAAAATTGAAATCAATCCATAATAAAATGAATACTGCATATTTTTTTAAATGTGTACAGTAGATAGTTTAAAATATTGCGGTTTCTCGCAATAGTTCTTATTACTTATTTAAAAAACAAAAACAAAAAACACCTCTCGATTCCTCATAACACTTACTCCCCTGAAGCGTTACTTAGGTAATGGTACTAAACTCAGCGTTATTCATTTCACCAGTGAAAATTTTAACTTTCAAACAAACAGCAATTTTGTCTTTGAAAATGACGAATACTGCTATATTTGTTTTGAAAAAAAAAAACACCCTGATGATGACATCATGCTAATGTCGAAAGTACTCGGAATACATAACATGTATCAACACGGTAATTTTCTCTCTTCCTTTAATAATGACACCAAAAAGCTTGTCCGTGAATATGAAAGGATCCTATTGGAAATAACTAGATAAAACTTGCCTAAATTGTTCAATGAAACATGTTTCAATATATATATATATATTTATCAGGTCATCCTATAAGTTCTGTCCGAATTTTAACTTTTTGTTAAAATGAACGAAATTTAAAGAGTATTTTAAAATGTCTAACGGAGAACAATAAAACATTAAATAATGTATATTCATTTAATAATCCTTTATTAATAAATGTTTGATTAAAGAAAATAGAAAAGGATATCTATAAATTTTCAGTTAACTTTTCTTGTTTACACCCAAGGAAACTCATATCTGAATACAGATAATTTAAATATTCTTAGGACGTTTGGGATCTAGCATTTTGATCGTACTTCAAGCCATTATCAAGATTAGGCAAAAAACTGGGTGGTATTCCGTTCTAATTTTGAATTACTTTTAACCCAACATTATACTATTTTCAATTTGTCATTTATGATTACATCACAAGAGAGGCGACATTCATTTTCTCTACATTTTTTATTTTACTTTCTCTCTTAATCAAAACTGCCTTTTTTAAGTCAAGATTATGGTCAGACCTATTACGAGAACCGACTAACGCAGTGAGTGTAGCGTTCTGTAAAAAAACATTTTTTGTATTCATATAATCTTTTATTTAAATTCCCAGTTGTTTCACCTATGTATTTTGGGAACTAGTGTTGCTGTCTATTTTGTAAATTGTTTACCGTTGTTATTCTGCATTGTGATACGTAACTCTTTTATAGTTTACAATTGGTTACAATGCAATATCTTTAATCCGGCACTCTGTAATCCGCTACATGATCTGGTAGTTTTTTTTTTTAATCAGCAGCCATTATTTGCAGAGCAACGCCAGACATTGTTTACAACTTTCCGCAGCAGCCGACAGCAACAGAGTGTTTTGCTGATAATGTCTTGCTCATATATGGCTACATATTTACTCTTTAAAGCTAGTAAGTATATATATTTTGGTGCGTAGTTTATTCTTTAGCCTTTGTATTGCATGAAAAAATAAAATCCTTGTTTAGAAGCATTAATCATTGTTCTTTTTTTGTTTGTTTGTTTTTTTCCTGTTTTAAGCTTTGTTCTATCTTTGATAACACAGCAATATATATGTGGAATGAGCTAGTCTGACTATGTTTACATAATGTTTTCATTAGGGGTGATTTTTGTCAGCCGGAGTTTTCTCTGATCCGGTAAGATATCAAATTGTAGTTGTAACAAATTTTATATTATGTTTAGATAAAATCCTTTGAATTGTTGGCATTATCGAGTTGGTAGATAATATTATGTGCCTAGT